AGATCAAATCGTTTTCGAAAATATCTTTTAAATTGTTTAGTTATTTATTATCATTAATCGTAATCGGGCAATAAGCAAAAATACAAATTTTCAACGGAATCTTATGTTTATGTTACACGACCCCGATTGATTTCAGCAATGAATTTTTTTTTTTCTTTTTTTTTCTTATACCTACCATACCTGTCTCTTATTATATTGCTTAGGGGTTATGATGACGTATAAATGTCAGCGAGTAAACGCAATAAACGCTTCGAACGATGATTAATCGCACGGCATACAATGGTCTAATATAATTTCCTATAAATTGATTGCAGCGTGCATTCTTTAAAGTGAGTTTATTTCTTTTTTTCACTGCGAATGCTCGAGTGGAATTTATGAAATAGTAAAAGTTCAGAGGATTTCCTATGAACTATTTTTATTTGTTTAAAATATATTTATATGATATAATATGTGTATATTATATTCGTGAAATGAAATTGATATTAATTTGAAAGTTTAATAAACCTAAAATACGTTTTTATTTATAAGAATTTTATAGCATTGCAATTCAAGCAAATATAAATTATTTCAATTTTATATTGGAAACTGGTACCGCGAATACTGTATATATATATATACAGTGTCGGAGAAAATACAGGAATTATGTGCTTGCTCGTTCTCACGGTGAGAAGATACTGTAAGGAAAGGTTCGGAGAATCGAAAAGAAGAAAGAAAGAGAAAGAGAAAGAGAGAATAAGGTGGTCCAGAGGTTTACCTCTGAGCCTTCAGGAGACAACATCGTAAATACGATACGTCGATGACCACGTATGAAATTCCTAACACCTGTGGTCGACCATCGTGAACGATCTCACGCATGTTATACACCCTACAATTTTTTCTCTCTCTCTCTCTTTCTCTTTCTCTTTCTTTTTCACACATACCCACATTTTTGAACCTTCTTTTCCGTTATAACACTGACACTTTGCATAAAACGTATATGCTTTCGTACGAAACAAACAAAAATCAAATAAAATAATAAGAGAGAGAGAAAGAGAAAAAGATCGCGGTTTCAAGAATCGTTCGAAACTTTTTCAGACTCCCAATATCTTTGAAATTTCAGAGAAACTTGATTATTAATTCTCTTTTAGCTTTACCACGAATGTATACTTTCGCTTTATTCCTTTTTCGTTATTCGCTTATAACCGACACATCAAGTTTCTTTATAAGTTAAGATTTTGTGTGCAATCTTGATAAATCAAAATTATGTAGAGAAAGAGAAAGAAAGAAAAAAAAATAAAGAGAGAGAGAAATAGGAAGGTGGGGTGAAAAAAGTAATAATGATACAGGTCGATATTAATAATCGTACACGCGAGTAAATCTTTTGATACGATAAAGAACATAATATTCACGTAGCATTCGCGATAAGCAATAGTTTCAATTATATCTTTATAAGATGAAAATAAATGATAAATATAATAGATAAACTCAATAGTGCAAGAGAAAATGAGCAAGTAAGAGAGACATATGATGATATAGCAAGATCTATATTAGCGATCGAGATCACCGTTAGATCCTTAGATCAGACGAGGAAGAGAATAATTATCCGATCGAGATAAGAGTGTTCTAGGTAGTTAGGTAGACATAGATAAATATATCTTTTATGACTTCTTTAAATAAAGTCATAAAATATATAGAAAAGAAGGATCTTAGCATGTAATTTTTATCTTTCATTTCGATAAGGTTATATTTTTAAACATGATCGAAGAACGATTCTAGCTTTGGTACCTAAGTAAACAAAATGTTCTATAGATAGATGGTAATATTTCAAGGGGTTAAAATCTATACATTAAATATAGGAAATATTTCATATCAATGTATATTTGATATAAATGAATTTTCGAGTTATATTTTTTATAATCGACATATTTTCAATCCATTTCTGGTTGCACGGCCCTAAATGAAATATATGTTAGTGATTTCAGCAATAGTATACAAAACAATTATGTTGATTTTAGAACACTATTGAGTGCTAGAGAATTGCCAATGTTGAAGATTTTTAGAAAGCCCAACGATTATTTTACGTTAATAATAAAGATTATTGTTATTAAAAAGTGACCTGAAAATATGAAGGGCAACTTATCCAGCATATCGACATTGGCGATATCAACAACCGGGTAAAGTAACGATCCTTTCAATATTGCATTTAGGATCATGGTTCCTTGCATCATATGTTTAATATTTATGTTCTTAATTATTAATAATTCTCGAAAACTCAATATACATATACTCATATATTCATACGATATTATTTACTTATTTTAATATATAAATATACCACCTGAAGTTTTGACATGCATTTATGAAACATCCAGTATAGATGAGTACTCATATATATTTCCATGTACCTATCTAACCGAGTCGATACACTTTGCACGCTTCATGCTCGTTATAAAAAGTGCGTGTCTACGTTTCGAATGAGCGTGGGCAGTACCCCGGCTAATAACTTAACATTCTATTAATAGAAAGTACGCACGAATGCGCACCTAAGTATAAAGTACACGTATGAGCACACACGCATTTATATATATATATATTTATTCCTTTTTTTTCGCGTATCGATCGATCGATCGACAGATCGTTCCTTGCTCGCGATCTCGAATCTGTAGAGACACGCGCGAGCCTTCTCTATCTGGTTCGGTTTGAAATTGAGCGTGGGCGAACTGCATTTTTCGAAACGCTCTCTCGTGCTTGGGAATAAATATCTACCGTCTGCAATATCTACAAGTGTCTTTCAATGTTCCTCCAGACTACTTGTAGTCTTTTCAATATTTTTATTCTATCAACTCTAATAAGACCAAAATTACGAATAAATATAATATATGAGTCATCTTGTCGTAGTTAAATCCATTTTTTTATATATTTTAATGGAATTGTTTTTTTCTATCTTTTTCAGCTGCCAAAAGGTGAAAATTCTAATGTTCTTCAAATGTTGCCCAATAAATACTTACGTTTTTATTTATCCTGTGCACAGCTTGTTTTGTTGCAGAGTCTATCTTTCGGAAAAGAACATTATATACTTTTCTGATTAAATGAAGAAATCAATAATTTTCAAAACTAATGTATTACGAAACGTTAATTTTCTCAATATTCAATATTTGCTTCTGTGCGACTCATATGATAATATGTAAGCATTCGATTGTGTAAACAATAGCAAAAAGGACACTACTTTTTATTGATATTTTTAAACATTTTTTACTATCTTGGAATGATTCAACGTATTCTTTTCTGAATAATAACTTGGTTGCCTAGATTATCTGGTCTAACCCCTAGATTGTTATTTGTGGGGGAAACTAAAACAAGAAGGGAGGCTGTTGCAGAAATTCATAGAAATTCGCCATGTGTAAACAGCGAATATGAGGATTTATTTAAAGAAATAATAACCAACAATGTTTATAAATTCTGATTAAATAACAAAAAATATATATATATTATATGATTAAAATATGGGATAATTGTTGATTCGTTCTCGTAATCGTTAATCGTTCAATTATCGGTTACAATGTTCGAAGAAAACGATGTTGGATCTTAAGATCTATAGGACGAACATCTTCTCTTTGGCTAAGGGCCAAAGAAAACGATCGAACGCGTTTAAAAGTCGAGCCGCAACGTTCTCGAAGGAGAAAACAGAACGTTGCTCTCTTCGATTCGGTCGTGTTTTGTCTGGTGGCAACCTTTTGCCAACTACCGCTTTAAACTCAAGGGAGACGAGATAAAATTGTTCACGAGTCTTCCAACTCCCACGTGATTCTCCGTTTTTTTTTCTTTTTCCTTCTTTTCTTTCTCTTTCTTGTAGTTTCTTTTATATACTCTTCTTTAGCGTCGACAGTTTCTCACCTAACGGCAAAATTCTTACGTCTATATAAACATGGTTAGTATTTACCGGGTCAGTATTTTTTAATTTTTTCTTCTAAGTCTTTTAAATAAATTGTCCATATTTATAAAAAAAAAGAAGAAACAGGTTATATGATTGGTCGAGTATTATTTAAGTAATTTTTTTATTTTAATATAACCATTTTATATTCTGCAGTTAAAATACTGTATAAAAAATAATCCAATAGATCTAATAAATCCTTAATCATTTAAGAACAGTTCAAAAATCACACGATTTTATAACAGAAACAAAGACATTTGAAGAGCAATATTTTCCACAGCAATTTTTCCTTTCTCGCAAATGGAGCAACGGTGCCAATGAATAATCTGTGTTATTTTGCAATAACCTGCATATAGTTTACAACTTTCCTTTTCTTCCGTTTTCATTTGAAAACATTTACGGTCTAACAATAAATAAAGTCTTTGGGTATGCAGCGTGCACTAGTGCAGTATTTTACTAGTAAGGTATATACACTTATCTTTTTCTTTCTTATATTTTCCTTCGCTGTTTCTTCTAGTAAGAGATCGAATCTATTCCCGATACGCTTGTGGAAAACGAAATTGCATCGGGTAGCTCTGGCTTACCGCCAATAAAACGTCGATGTCGTGATCGTTTACAAGGCCTTTGCTCGTTTATTCGGTACTTCCGTTCTTGCCGATCCTACCTTGAGAATTTCATGTTTTTCTAACATCGCCAGCTTGTTATCGCGAAGAAAATTAAAGAGCCACGTTGTATTCAACTTATCATGGGGGTAAACGTGTCAAATTAAAACGAATAAATATACAGCAGAGCATCGATTATTCGAATTCGAAAAAAAACCGTAATTTACGTAAGTAAATATTGGAAAAAAGCATGTAATCTACGCAAAATCGATAAACACAGTCGAATTTTAGTTTGCTTTAATGGAGGATTCGTAGTTACTTGTTTCGTGTATACAAAATTTCTTTTAAAACTCTCTAGAAGAAGTTTACACTTTTTATTCTTTTTTTTTTCCAGACGCGGATAAAACTTTCGCAATTTGGCTGTCTAAGTCTCAGACATCCTGTATTTTTTAATGTATAAAGGAAAAAATGATAGAGAAGTTTTTTACCGTGCACCAACGACGACTTGCTGTCTAGCAACATCGAAAAGCAGCTGCGAGTACGTTGTCACACCCTCTTCACGAAACATGCTGCCTTCCACCAGATCTGTAAAATAGAAAATTGAAACGACACGTTAGAAGATATTTTCTATTATCTTTGAAGAGTATTTAAGTTTGAAAGATAGAATACCATGAAAGATATATTTTTTCTTCTATTGTGACCATGCATACGAATAAGGAAGAAGCAGGTGTGAAAATTTGCTAGGAGGTGTCATAATTACCTAATCGGCAGGTAGCAGATTGTTCAGATGTCAAAATATACGCGTCTATTTTATATACAGTGACTCTAGAAATATATTCGGATATTACAGTATGACTAGCTTATTCTCTTGTAAAAATAACCAAAATATGAATCCAAAAGTGTACTACAAATAGTCGTACAAGTTTAGAGAAGTTGATTACGCGTATAAAAAACAGTCGAAAACGTAGAATAACAATTTTTTATACGAAGTTTTCGTTTTCAAGAAAACTGACTATAAGGTTTTGTTAAGTACATGCGTACTTAAATGGATTTTTTTATACTTAAGTACTTTATTCGTATTTGCAAACAATATTGTCAATGATTTGGCCTAGATTGCATTACTACATTAAGTTCCAACAATATATTGATATATTTAAATTATATATTGCTGAGAGTATTTTCTATTTTGTTTTAAATAAAGTATTACCAAATGGACTGCTGATACCATTTCTCGAGTTTTGACTTCTTTAAATGTAAGTATGATATTATTGTTTGAATATATCTCTGGTTCCATTATTTTTAGCATACACTCCTGAATAAGACCTCATAAATAAAAATCAAGTGGAGTTAAAACCAGTGACATTGTTAAAAAATACGAACAAAGTTTAAGTGTGATCAAGTACGAAGAAACCCATTCAACCGATTCTCGTTACTTCTCAAGTACACGTGTACTTGACGGAACTTCACAGTCCATTTCCTTGAAAGCGAAGCCTTGTAGACAAAATTCTCATTTTACATTTCCGACTTATTTTTATAAGCGGAATTCATTTCTTTCAGTTATTACCATAATTTTGAGTATATTCTACATGTACATCCCTAATAGGGTTTCTTATGAATAATCCATTTCCTTGAAAACGAAGCCTTATAGAAAAAATGATCATTATTTATTTCCAACTTACTTTTATACGCGGAATTAATTTTTTTCAATTTATACCTCAATTTTATGGAGTATCGTTTTTATTCCTATTAGGATTTATAAAAAATAAGAATGAAGCTTTATTGAAATAAATTCAAATGAAAATATAGTATATTTAAGATTTTTATAGATCATACAATTTTAATTTAATAAATAAATACAAACATTTAATTTTAATATTATAATAGTAAATTTGAAGAGTTCATTACTTTGAAGAAAAAATATGTCCAAATTGTCTGTCTTTTTCAATGAGATGAAAATAAAGGCACATTTATTATTTTACATTATCAACTTTTGTATGTACATAAAATCAACTTCTTTTAACTTTTACCATAATTTCTTATAAACTCTGTATATTTTTAATAAATTGTTTTATAATGAGGGTTCTTTAAGAAGGTTCTAACCTGACTGACGTTTCATTATTTTTCTAACAAGTAAGCTCATGCTCGCAGAAAATTCATGGAATATCATTTTCTAAGGAAGCTTCGCGAAAATATTTTAAATTCAGCAAAGTGGTCCAAGAGCTCGAGGGATCTGGGGAACGGAATGATCGAGGCGTAAAATCGAGTCGAGTCGGAAGACCGGCTCGTAAAGCGACCCTTCGATACGGCGACGAGTGCGAAAAAAAGAAAAGGAAAGGTAAAAATAAGAAAAAGTCGAAGGATCGTGCGACGTCGAGAGCTGTAACGTTGGCATCGTTTTAACGATTACAAAGGGAAGAGTTTATACGACCTTTTTCCACCTTTTTTGCACCCCTCGTTCTCTTTCGTGCCATCTATGTCCTACTCTTACATATATAGGGATACCAGGACAAGTTGATACATGGACAGGTTAATACAATGATATTATTTGGATACTCTTAAGTTTTACGTGGTTTTATCAGTATTTCATGTTTTTAGTTTATTGTCTGACCATTTATAGGAAACCATTTGTTAATACGACATATTTTTGCAGCATGGTTTAGTTTTAACACGGTTTCAGAATTAGGAGTATCATCCTACTGTATTATTTGAACACTGTGTAGATACATGTGATTGAATCTGCTCAGTGTTTGATGCTTTTAGGTTATGGTTTCCATATTTTCAGGCAATTTTATAATACGACATTCTTACAACATAGTCTAACTCTAAAATGGTTTGGGAACTGGGGAAATCTCTGTACAACAGGGGTATTTTTACAATATGGTTTCCCTGTAACACGATTGGGGAATTGAGGAAATCTCCATACAATTCGGGATGTGATGAGAATTTTTAAGTGTACGCAATGTCATTTGATATTTTTCATTCGAACAAGTAAATGTGTTGGATCAGATTTGCATATGGCATATTAGATTTTTAGAATTTTAAGTTCATTTGGTTCGTTGTGGATTAAATATATTATAATATTATTAAAAAGTGAGAGAGAGAGAGAGAGAGAGAGAGAGAGAGAGATATATATTGACTGGGGTCCAACAGGCTGTGAATTAAATAAATATCTACCTAAATACTAATAATTTATTAAAAAGATACAGATAGTTTTTATATTAAATTATACAACACTATAGCACTTATATAAAATTCATACCAATATCTTATGAAAAAACACCAACTATTTAAAAGAAAATATTAAACCAATAAATAACAACCTATATTAACATATAAATATATTTTTGTCGAAAATAATTAATCCAAACAAAAATGACAATAATTAGAAACTGTATAAAACGTATTAACTTGTTCCTTGATCGTCCTTATTTTACTTTAATTGTCCCTACGTAAGTACATACGCATATCACGTATTGAGAGAGAAACGTACGCGCGTATGCGATTGCCAGCGCCTTCCCGGAACAGTTTTTCCATCCTAAGCGAACTAGTTTAGCTCTCTGCTAAAAGACCCGGTTCTACCTCTTTCCATCTCTCTATACTTCTCTCTCTTCTCATCCTTCGTGTCTACTTGTCTACTTCCTACCTCCTTCTATCGTTATTTCTTCGTCTATCTCAATTCCACAGCGCGCTCGTGACTTTTCATGCCGGTAAACTCGTTTCGATATATCCATGTGGGAGAACGGATAATACTGAAGCCTTTCCGAGGGGTGCCTTCGATAAGAAGAGCCGCATTTCAGTTACGTTCCAGGAGCTACCTCCCCCCCACCCCCTCTCTCTCTCTCTTCGTGTTTCTTTTTTTCTTATTTGACGAACCTACATACGTAACAGATCGATCGTGATGCTGTTTGAGATTCGTGTTTTGAATTAATGTTGCATCCATGACGAAACGTCGTGTTCTCAAGCATGTCAAATAAAGAAAGATAAAGAAAATCTTTCATAAAGTATTCCATACTTAGCCCCCCCTCCCCACACACACACACACAAATCAGTATGTGACATAAAACGTCAAATAATTTCGGGCTAGTACTTTTGTACGTAGAATAATGAAAGGCATCGATTGATTAAAAGAAAAAAATCAGATTGCATTAAAATATAAAGTGCAATTGCATTTGGCAGGTGCATCGGTGCATGCGTCACACAATAAAATAAGGTCATAGGAACTTAGTTCTCAGAATTATTTTGAATATTGGGCTGGGTAAAAAGTTTCTTCGTGTTTTTTCGGATAAACGGTTCGAAAATCTCATAACTTTGGTAATATAAATTGGATTCAGCAATACTTGCAAACGTTTAAAATATGACATATCATAGAGTAATTAATAAAAAAGAAAATTGCAATGTTTGTTTATTCAGTCGAAAGCTCCTGTATCGTAAAAATAAGCAAAAATATAGAAAAAATACATATTCGAGATATTTACAAATTTTATTACAGAAAAGAGTAGAATGAGACGAAGAGTGTTAAACAATTTTGAGATTGATGTATAGGATGCAATATTAGTAGATGTCGCACAGTGCTGATTAAAGCGTTTAAGCTGGAAATATTGATGTCAAATATCTGTTCGACCAATAAATGGAAAATTTTATGAGACGATGGAAAAAATTGACTAAGAGTGGCATTATTAGCAGTCATAATGTCGGTAAAGAAATAAACATCGATCACAGAACAGTTTTAAACAGTTTGGAGAGAGGTGGATAGAAAATTGTTTTTATTTGTGATTAAACATAGAATATGCTGATGTTGTTTGATAGTATAAAAATGAAATATTTTGTAAATATGTATACGAGTCTTTCACAAAGGCTAAAGTAATTAACTTCACTCTTAGAATTTTGTATATTTACACTACTAAATTACTCGCGCGCGATCGATGTTTAACTTTTTATATTTAAAATAAATTACTTTGGTAATTAGATTTTATATTACAAAGAATAAATGAGAATAATTTAAAAAACCATTGAATAAAACTTTTAATGATCAATGTTTATGTGGGTGGTTTCCCTCTTTCTTGTTAGTCTTCCGAAACTAAAGAATAGGAATTCCGATAATGTTGATAATAGGTTCTTGTGGAAGAAAACCTCTCTTCACGGAAATACAGTATATTCTGATAAATGAACTACAAAAAGGATAATAATACAGTAATACGCGTTCGCCTCTTGACTCCTAGACGCGATAACTGCCTTCTTAGGTCTTCTTCTCTTTTATCCGGTCTTTGTCTTGCCGTGAAACGCTATTGATATTCGACTGTTTACATTATTCGACCTCTGCCCCACTCTCTCTTACATCCAATACTCTCATACTCAGAGTTATCTCACTCGTCCTCTCACAAACCACATTAATATAACATTTTTTCTTTTTTTTTTTTTACGTAGAATAAGCTTACACGTTTGTAAAGAAAAATATTTGACACCATGTATATATTAGAATACTATAATGTAAATAGTATGGGAAAGCAAAGATGAAAACTTAAATTAGCAGTATTTTAAATACAATAAATTCTGATATAACGGGAACCTATAATCTTATATAATGA